TCCCACTTAGAGGGATATGTTCTGCTGATCATTCTGATGTGTTCTATTTTTCATGGACAGTAACTCAAGGAATCTATTCTCGGACTGAACGGTTTGATCGCAATTTGTTAAACATTTTGGCTGTTCAAGATGTGGCTTATCAATTTAACCAATCAGCTTTCTGGTTGAATGTTCAGGTAAATTGGTTGGTTAATTAGAAAGGCCTATTATTTCTTATTTTATCGTTTTTTTGGCCTGATCTTGTAATTGCTTGCTTGCTAGTGCCTGGTTTGACACTTTCTCTCCTTTCTTCAACAATAGAGCCATTATCTCCTTGTTCTTGTTCAGAATTATTAACCCTAGTGCTTTGATGCTTTTGCAGCATGATGCATTTTACACGCAACATAATTTGAGTATGAGGAACTTTGTCCTTAATGTATCTAAGAGTGTGATTGTTGATTACATCTCTTCACCAGAGGTTGGCTTCTTGAGGAGTATTTCGGCACCTTTTGCATCGAGCAAGACAAAGCTGGTCTTCCGGTTTATGCAACAAGACAACATTGAGCCTTCAACCAACCAGAGTTATGGTTCTCTGTTAAGGAATCTCACATTTATCAAGAAATTTGCCTCAGGAATTATTGTTCCCAAGTCTTACATATGGCCAGTAGATTCTAGTTATTACTTGCTACCTTCAACCTCTGTCGTCTCAGACGCTCACAAAGTAGGGCTAGAAGTTTTTGCATCTGACTTTGTGAATGATGCTCAACTTAGCTTCAATTACAGCTATGATCCAGTGGCTGAATATTTAAATTTCATTGATAACGGTGACTTCTCTGTTGATGGTGTGATATCTGACTTCCCAATAACTCCATCAGAAGCTATAGGCAAGTTACTAGTTTTTTTAGTAAAAGTGAAACCATTTATCCAATGCGGTAACTTAGTCTCAATAACTTTGGTTTATCAAGTCTACTTTTATTGAAACTTCTTTTTATTCTCCAGATTGCTTTGCTCACCTAGGCAGAAATGCTTCAAAACAAGGTAAGCATCATAAAACATTGCTTCTTGTGTAGAAGTTGATGTTTTCTAGCCTCGCGAACTTTTGATGTAAAAGGACGCAAGACTTTATATTTTTGGTCCTACTATATTTTTGGTCTTACCAATTCTCCAAAGGTTCTTCTTAACACAACTTTCATCCGTTGCCTCGTTGTAGCTGATCTACTGATAATCACCAAAAATGGAGCAAGTGGGGACTACCCTGGATGCACTGACTTGGCATACTCAAAAGCCATCGTAGACGGTGCAGATGTTATTGACTGTCCTGTGCAAATGACAAAGGATGGGATACCTATTTGCTTGCAGTCTATTAATCTTTTTGATAGCACAAATGTTGTCCAATCAAGTTTCAGCAACCTTGCAACAACGATTCCAGAGATTCAAGCAGGCACTGGCATATTTACCTTTACTCTGACATGGAGTGAAATTCAGACCTTGAAACGTGAGTTATATTTGCTTCTTCTTTGTTTGTGTTATAATTAGTTATTTCTTCAGCTTCTTATTTTTCCTTCTTTTAGAAACCATTAGTTCTTTGAAATGTGATTTTTTGAATCATAAATAAATAATAATATCAACTTGAATCACACAGCAACTCTGCATAAGGCGGACCAAAGAGAAAACTGTAAACAGGAAAAATGGGGTAAAAATAGATATAAGAGAAAAGGAAAATAATTCCTAAAGGTGTATTTGTCCAACAAGTGAAGGGAGAGTAAAATGATGGCACCGGATGGAGTCATTCGGAGTTTATACTGCCAATTCATATACACTGAGATTTTAATGGCTAGTTCTATGTTCTTTCTAAGATAGATGTGGTTAACCTTAACGTTTTGGTCAACATCCCTGTATTTATCCGTTATATGTCACTGCAGCATCAATATCAAGCCCACAGGCGAAGGATTACAATTTATTTCGGAATCCAAATTTAAAAAATGCTGGAAAATTTGTAACATTGTCTGATTTTCTGGCCACAGCAAAAAATGCTATCTCTCTTTCGGGTGTCTTAATCAGCATAGAGGTGAGTTCTTTATTTTCCTTGATATTACTTGTTAAAGATCATTTTCCTAATCTTAAGTTTCCCGAATGCATGTAATTGCTGTGCTCAGGGTAACTGTGGAAGACATTATGGTAAATGCAGCCTAAGAAATTTTTGTACCTTATCATTTCCATTCCAATCCATGGAGCATAGCAGCTGAAAATGCATTTTATTTAGACTAAGGTCCATGGGTCAATTAAAAACTAAAACTTTAGTTGTTAGTAGTAGGTGGTCTTGTTTCATACATACCTCTTTATCATTGTACTAAATTCCCAATGTAGAATAGGGGTGTCCAGCACTGCAGATTCACTGAATTCTCGTCAAGGCTGAATCATTCAAGATGTCATGCTCACTCTTCTGTTTGTGAAAGTTTTTTGACACAAATCCTTGTGGGCAAATAAAACTGAATGCTATTGTCATCACGAAGTTCCTCCTATCTCAAACTGCCAGGATTTCCTGTGCTTTATATTCACTACCTTCTTATAAATCACTGCTCAAAACTTTTAAGTTTCATTTTAAGCTACTGCATGGTCTGCTGACTTGCAAAGTAATAGTAATGAAAAACACAAGCTAATCTTCCAACATTCTAGATATTCTTAACGGAGCTAATTGCATCAAGTGTTTTAACTACACAAGCAATTGAAGACACAATTGCTATTCTGAGTAGCATGATCTGCTTTCTTAGGAGTGCCCTGACTTCTAAAATCTGCATCCTTGGACTAGCAGAATATTATGTTGACTTACATGTATTTTTCTTTTTTTGAGGGATTGACATTTTTTTCTTGATTCATTTTCTCGTTCAGAATGCAGCTTACCTTGCAAAGGAGCAGGGCTTGAGTGTAACTGATGCAGTGCTTAGTGCTTTGAGCAAAGCTGGATATGATAAACTGACAACTCCAAAAGTTATGATACAGTCCAGTAACAGTTCTGTTCTAAAGAAGGTCAACATTGCAGGCACTTATGAGCTTGTCTACAGGGTTGATGAAAGTATTCGGGATGCTCTCAATGCCACAGTTGAGGACATCAAAAGCTTTGCTCATTCCGTAGTTGTTGATATGTCCTCTGTGTTTCCTACAGATATAAATTTCATCACTGGTTCAACAGATGTTGTAACCAAGCTACAATCCTTCAAGCTTCCTGTTTATGTAGAAACTTTCAGCAATGAGTTCACATCTCAACCGTGGGACTTCTTCTCAGATGCAACAGTTCAGATCAACACATTTTACATGGAATCCGGTCTCAATGGTGTAGTCACAGACTTCCCAAAGACATCTGCTCGATATAGAAGTAAGTAGATGCTTACTGATTCTTTGTATCCTTTATTTAAATGATGCCAAAAGCTGGGTGTCTGAACTAAGTTCTATTACTCTTACTCTCCCATGCATACATGCTTTTTTCCTTATCATGAGGAAAACTCCGTCCTACTGTGCCATTTTGTAGTATGGACTAATGTTTTGGAACATACATGTAATTTGATACACTATTGCCAGGAAACAGATGCTTAGGAAGGGGTAAAGAAATACCTAGCTACATGAGCCCTGTTCCGCCTGGTTTCTTCATGGGACTCATTGCACCT